GTCCAGGTAAATTTCATAATTAGCGTTGCATGGTCTTCGGCGGCTACTGTACCACTCAGTACTCTAAAATGTTAGCTCTTAAAACAAAGTGAATTCCAAGTTGTCACTAACTTTGCCTTGATACGTATTCTTAGTATGAGGAAGGACTTTAGTTACCATCATTTATCTCCAAGCCCATCGTTTTGATTGTTAAATGTAAACCAAATTAAGACCCAGTGTCATTTCACGTTCAAAGTAGCTCCAAAAACGTACATACACATCGTCAACCGATGGTTCAAGTTATGAGTTTTCTTTAAATTTTCCCTCCCTTTCTGTCATGTGTTTGAATCTCACCGAGACCACCGAGTATTTCATAAGTGGACAAAACGAACTATTTAAATCTTCCACAAAAACTGTTACTTTAGTGTACCTGGTGGATTCTAGATTGTCTGTTTAGGTAGTCCTTTTTGGGTGATCAGCACATAGTAGCATGTCGTGAATTCCTTGTATATAGTTTACTCGGCTGGGCGGCTAAATTTACCCGAGCGAGATTAGCCTCATGGCTTCAAGTGAAGTCTCGTAGTTCAGGTGGTTAGGGCGCCAACTGGACATAACCACATACTGTCGTGCGTTAGAATCCCACCGAGTTTTTCACGAGCGAGATAAATAAATTCCAAGATAATTCATCTTAACAGTATGCACGATCCTGAACGAAGACTGCACAGGGTATTTGGCAAGGTATGTAGAAGATGTACGAATTGCAACAAAGATCTCACGGAGTGATCAAGTAAATGGTTCAGTTAACCGCCACAAGTTCATCTGCTGAGTACCTGAGGATTTGCATGTCATAGTGGAACATCATGCTAACGGACGCACAATTACGGCGTGGCTCGAGTTACTATCAAGCGTATCAACTGCACCATTCTTTCTGATACTACTGCGACTGATTCCGTTTACTGCAACAGCTAGCCATGTCAAGAATCAAAGAGTTCTTCAAAAATAAGGAGTTTAAATTCCAGTAAGATGAGGCGCATCCACACTTCCATCAATAAGTAAGATCCTACTTTGATCTGATTTTGCCACGCAGGTGAATCGAACGAACAGTTTTCAGGGAATGCCCTCTTCGTGCACCAAACTTAAGGCATGCAGTTTGTGAACGGAGGCCTTTTAAAAAGGATTTTGCTATAAAGACGATTAAGGTAGTTAAACTGAACATAACCAAGGTACGATAATACACTTACGCGCCAGACAAAAACATTCTTGCGATCTTATTGCTTCTCGTTCTCAGGGGCTCGTGGATCAGAGCGTATCACAGTTTGAAAACGGATATTGACCAAAGGATAAAACAAGGTCCATTAGTTCGAGTACGCCATGAAAAGTAATTGGTTCAAGACCCCGACTTTATAGTTATTTAAAGTGTATGTAGAGTTTTTTCTACGCTCTGAATATCTGACCTTGTTAATAAAAGTGCTAACATTGTCAAGAAACCTGTGGCAGCCTTCTATGCATAGGTTATTTTAACTGGTCTTATGGTTATAGTTTAAGGTTTATTAGGTTCTTCAGAACAGAAGTTTATAATCCTTATAAGGCCTGTGACAGAAGTAACACATTCCTCTCACCAGTAACCCCAGCATTCTAACTGTGCTAACTGACACCCACTGCTTTTGAATAACTTTTTAAGTCGCCAAGGGGGCTAACTGTATCATCATCGTCCCTCGGAGACAACGATTGATGACAGAAATTAACACTAACTGGTAAACAAAAAGCAAGATGAGGAAGCAGTTCTCAAACTTGGCTGTTCTACGAACTATTATGCACACATTTAAGCATAGGCATTCTCTCCCCTAAAGGTCTTCCCCAAACAAAACGCTGTCTAATGGACGGGTTCTACAATAGCATTTGTTGCATTAGTTCCACGGTAGATATGCCTCCCAGCCCCTTCGTAGATGAGTCCTAACGTAGCAGCTGATGGGGGAACATATCTTACTCACAGGAGAAAAAAAAGATGATATAAGACCCACAGCAAAGGGAAAATGACGGAATAAAAGATAACGCAAGGTGTTCGTCAACCTGAATGAAACTCTTAGAAGTTGAAGCAGAAACGACACAGGCAGGTATAAGAGATGCACAGGCTAGATCTTGTGGGGAAGCCAAGGATTATACGCGTCTGTAGAAGACAAGATCACACATGAGCGATCAGATGTAAGGTAATTAGGTCGGGGTAAGAAGCCAGCTCCTTTATGAATTTGTCAATGTCCTCTTCTTTCAGACCCTTAAGGTGGCAACGGCCTTGCTTGAAAGCACTGAGGCCAATCTTGGAAGCAACTTTATAGGAGACGCAGCGTATTTTTTCCCACCGGGGATAGAGACAGCCCTCATTGACATCCGCCTCTGTCACGACCTCTGAGACAGCCTGAAAAGGGGACATAAGTTACGGTTTACAACAGAGACGTGGAATTGCGCAAATTATCATGGAACTGTGAGCATTTCGGACGGGTGTCGTTACTCAATTTCACTTGGTCCAAAAGATACACATGCACACCGCCCGTCCTGTGATCGTGAAATGTTTGTCGCTGGGCTATCGATTAATGCGACCGCAAAGTGGGGCCACGTGGACGTGATATAGCCTTCGCCGGTAGATCGTCCTGCGCTCAGGTTCCTGCCAGGATTCATAATGAGCAGTAAGCTACCCGAATTCAATAAAAAGCCGTTAAACTGTTTCTTGGGGAGTTTCTATTAGTGCCGATCATAACTGGTCGGCATCTTTCGTCATATCTCCAGAAGAATGTTAAACTTAGTACATAAAAAGGCCTATCAAAGTGCACTTTAAGAAACGCAATTTAAAAAAAAACCCGTGCTCATCAAAGAAGCTGCATTCATGGCGTTCAACAGGTTCGACGAAGCACAACCATAGTGCGCGGATGTGGATGAACGAGCTTATACAAGAAGAGTACTTAAAGGTGTTGAAAAAGGTGGGGTAAGAGGTGACCTGTAAAAATAAGCCACATATGTCCTTTAAAATCGCGACGAGGAAACAAGTTAGGCACGAGTTGTCATATGTTATTACTTTGTATGCTTTATATTAGTTTGCATATCTCATTATTTTTGGGTTGTTTTTGACGGTTACTATGGCCCCTTGATACACGCTTGCGAGAGAAGTGGATATTTCAACAATAATATAAGTTAAGGTACCTCAAAGCGTCCATTGCCACCCATTTCGGGAAATTCGAAAGTGAGATCGGTGGACGTATCCTATTTAAGAAGACCCAATAGGAACAATACGGCAGTCTTGTGTACTATTCAATTTCTACTCAGCCGAGTCAGCATTGAAAAATGCAGTCCGCTCGTGAAAATTTAAATATGTCAGTGTCAGTTTCGCAACCGATAGCGTTGATTTGCAAAAGCAAACTCCTTGATTTGGTGAAAACTTCTGCAACGATGGCGGCAAAGACGCTGATCATTTCTGGTTTGCAGTAATTGGGCATGCAATGCAACTGAGCATCTTTTGTAACGGCCAAGGTTCTGAGGGTATCAACACCGTCCAAATGGAACCAAGTCAGATTCAATAGTATGATAGATATTATTCTGTGCGGACCACCACATGGACTGCTTAATAAACGGCAAAGTGTAGTAACAAAGCCACGGTCTACACGAGTACTATGCATATGAGAGCGTGTGACGACGTAATCGCTGAAACATTTGGTAGTGCTTCAACTCATGTATAACATTTTGCAGTTTGCTCGTTCGCCCTAAGGAGGAGGTGGGGATGATCGTTTGACATGGTGGGGATGACTACTCACCCGACGAAGAAAGCTAACACGAGGGTAAGAAACTATGCCCTGTTAAATTACCAATACCTTTGCCGTGCAAAAGTTCCTGCGAAGGCTGCGCTTCTGAAATCGATGAATATCTAAACCCTTTGTACCGTTTTCGCCGAAGTAGTATTATAAATACAATAGAGCCAGGACGGACTACGGCCTTAAGTGGCCACACAAGGCTCTGCATTCGTTGCCATGGCAATAGACTCTTGTTGGTATGGTACAATCTATAGACGGCGGGTTTATTAGACAGTTGATCTCCATCCACGGAGAATATGCAACTATTTCCGTCGACTTTTTCCCAGAAAGACCTTCTGGCACCTGCGACACATAGACTTCTTGCAGGAGGGCGAAGGTACTACTGCCACTGTCTCCTTCGTCTTCGTCGGGTTCTGTCGAACCGTTTTCATCAATCTTTTCATGCTTCCCATAATCGAGGTGAATACTGCAAATCCTTAAGAATTTGTGTGCGTTTTTTGACAAAGCAAGCTTTAAAATGGCTAACCAACCTCAGCAGCTGTGATGAAGTCTCCATCGGTGATTGGTTGGATGCGCAGGGCAGAAATCCCTAACACAAGACCGGGGAAAATGTATGAACTGTTGGCCTGGCTCACTTTGGGCTGCGTCGTCGAGGTATTGGGTGTCTCGTGAAGTGGAAGGGGGCCTCCATGTGCGAAGAGACATTGACCCTATGGAGGAAAGGAAGTAAATAATGCTTATTTCATGGCAAAAGGTGGTTATGCAGTTATCAGGAAGGCGTGTGCTGGACGCTGCCGGCCAACGCCCTCCATTGTTTTGTCCGGCGTCATTGTTCAAGGCCAGCTGCCTCAAGGTCATCCAATGCCTCAGTCAGCGCCCTCAAACGCGCTGACCTGCAGAGACTTGACCCACTTCCACTCGGACACACACATATGTGTCTAGGTTCTCGCGGCTGCCCAAGCACCACTCGAACAAGTCCCTCTTTCCCCTTTTCGACCACTAGA